AATTTTTTTAGAAAGTCCAGCAATGAAACTTCCTTTATCATCTCGGATAATAACACCTACCCCTGATGATTTATCATCCATAAACACAGCTCCATCAAAGTTTGCCTTAACAAAACCTGCATTGGGTCATATCCAATAAGATATTGACAACCTTGATTGGATAAAAGTTGGAGCACTGAACTTATCTTTGGAATTTGCTTCACGGAATTGATTGAGGAATGCTATAGGCAAGGAGACCAAACTAAGAGGATCCCTATAAGGCCCATCAAAAATCGTTCCATTCTGATTATTCCATAAATTCCAGAGAATAACATCCACCAATTCCATCCCTTTGCTTGATAGTCAAAAAAGTAGGTTGGGAAGCCAAGATTTGATCTGATTAGCCGAATGCAGTTGAACTTTTTGGCTTAAGAAACTAAGTGCCCAATATTGTACAACTGCAGGACAAGTTAAGAAGGTATGATCAATATCATCAACTGGAGTGAGACATAAAGGGCAAGAGATATCTAAATGAAGCCCTTTAGTATTGAGTTTAGTGCTAGTTGGTAGTACATCTTTACATGCCCTCCATAAGAAAATTTTAATTTTCTCCGGAAGATTCAAGTGCCAAAGCCAAGACCAAACACTTTGCTTTAGAGTGCTACTATTTGGTAGCAAATTCTCCCAATTAAAAGATTGTTGCTTGATCAAGTGATACACACTCTTCATTGTAGAAGACCCATTCTTTGAAAGTGCCAGATTGCCTTATCCTTATTGCGAGCGTCTCCAACTGGAATGCTTTGAATTAATTCATTCTCCTTGGGCCAAAAAATCTCCTGTAACAAGTCAACTCACTAAGTCTTTTGATTGTAGTCTATTAGGCAATCAACCATTGAATTCTTTGATAATGTAGTGGACCGTGACACAATTTTAAAAGTAGACGGCCGCGGAAACCATCTATCTTTCCAAATTTTGATAGAACTTCCAGAACTAATTCGCCATCTGCCTACTGTTTCAATATACTTCCTGACCTCACATAATCCACGCCAAGACTAGGAAGGTCGAGATCCTTCTTCAGCCTGAAAGAAATCAGTATTGGAAAAATATTTAGGAAATGAGGAACTTACCCATTGGAACATGGAAGGATATGGCCCACTATCTTTGGTTTAATCAACAACAATGATTGTTCAAAGAGTTTGAAAAAAAGAAAGAAAAGGTTCAAGAAGTCAAAAATGGAAAAAATCAAGTTCGAGCCAGTTTTACTAATTCCAGGTCAAACTCAGACTTTGCCCAGATTTGACCTGATTTTTGACAAACGGTTATTTAAGAGACTTGGAGTCGGCCAATTCCCAGTCTGGCCAATTTGGTTCGACAAAAATTAAAAGCTATTTGCAAAAATATCCCAAAGAAAAAGTTAGAAGCTTTGTTAACAGAAATTAAACTAACAATAGATTAGCAACAAACAGTCAGCTACATAATTCCCAATTCCTAATAACAATTCATCACAATCTTATGATTTCACAAAGCTTTTTAATTAAAAAAAAAAGTGAAAGGAGGATTAGAAATTGAGGCCCCAGAAATTAGAGATTATGAATTCTAATTCCAGATTGAGGAGAGATTGATGCATCTTGAATTTTCACCAATAATTGAAATTACTTAAACAGCCTCCTAATGCTCAAATAACCTCCCCAATAACACCTCCAAAGCCATGGTAGGGTTAGGCCCCACTATAGGCCAAACAAAATTACACCAACCCCTACATTAACCACTTATGCCATAAGTAACTTGTATTCACAATTACATATGTATGTATGTATACATGTATATGTGTATATATATATCATCAATGTATATATCATTAGTGTATATAGGATTTTAAGTTCAAATTTTTCATAGTCTTCTTTCATCTAAAACTGACAGTGTTTATATAGTTGTCATTCATCTAAAAGAATTTATTGTCAATCTATATCATATCCTAAATGTATTGGTTAACATTTATCATAGTTGAGAAATTTGCTCAAGTATGGATAAAGTAATTTTGGATGTGTAGTATACTTTTGGTTTTACACGTTATTTTCTTTTCATTTTCCTTCATAAAGAAAAGGAAAGAGAAAACAAAAACCCTTATTGACTCCGTCACAAATGCAATGATCTTCAACTTTCTCAAGACAAACATTTGTAAATCAGCAACTTCTTTTTCTTTTCTTTTTTTTTGTACAAAAAGGATTAGTGTAATGCGTGATTGATGGGTAATTTTTAAAAATAGGTTTCTTGTGTTATTTAGCAAATTTAGGGTTTTGGTTAGTTAACAGGTACTCATTAGACACTCTTTGCAGCCTCATCCATAATTTCCTAACGAAAGTGGCATTAATTTAGAAAAGTGTCTAAATATAAGAGGGGCAATAAATATGTGTGTGTGCTCATTCATATGGTAAATTTAATATGGTTTAGGCATATTAACTAGGGCCACCCATTAGAAAAATCGTAAATTCAATGTAGGAAAGGTTGAAAACCCTGTAACAAATGTTTTGCCTTGCTATATCGGTTTATTGTACTATCCTTTTTAATGTTTCATAGTTTGTTTTTTCTTTTGAAAGATTGTCCTTCATTCATTAGATAGTAATTTTAGTGAAAGGTACGTACGTTTATGAGTCATAGATCCACGAGTGGAACTAGAAATTTTATTCTGAGAGGCGAACAGCAACACATCTAAACATAACTATATAGTATGAACTATTATCAAATTTTTGCTGTGCCAAAAGTTTGAAGTTAAGAGGTACAATTTTGAAAATTATAAATTTTTTAAGGGTGAATAATCTAATTTGAAAACTTGGTGGGCCGGGGACCCCTTGTTACGTCCAAAAACCCTATAACAAATCCTGTATTCCTCTCTTCGTTCCCCGTGTAGGCGTTTACACCTATTCATGCATACTATATTGGCTTAGGTTACGTTAAAAGACTAAATTTTACACCAAACTCGTATTTCCTGAAAATTACACCAAACTCGTAACCTAGCTTAGCTTAGGTTACATACAGATTATTTCCTGAAAATTTCAGCCAAACTCGTATCCAGTAAGTCTAGCTGTCCTTCTTTGTTGTTTTTAATATACTCAAATTTTCTCAAACAAAATTTTTCTGTTCTTTCCTTCCTTTTTTCCCGTATAAATATGTATTTTGTGTGAAGGAATTTGTGCATTATTTGTTGGTTTTTTTTTTATTTCGCTGGATAAACAACAGGGTTCATGATTTTGACGTTGGATTACTGATAAAGAAAAGGGAAAAGGGGGGAAAAGATCGACTGGAAGACATTGAAAAACTTGCATGCAAGGTACAATTTACCCAGTTTTCAACGTGGTTATTAGACGCTCATGTGTTTTGAAGGATAGAATCTACAGGTCTTTTTTCGCTGCTTATATGTCAAGCAAATATTTAAAAGTTGATAAGATGCTTTACATGTAATAGGTTGCGGTTCAAGTCATCAAGGGAGTAAGTGGGAAATCACTCTTGATCCTGTTTATTTGAAAAAAGGAATACTACTTGTGACCTCTTTTTGTTTTTTCATAATGTTAAAAGGCAAAAGACTTCCATTTCGCTTTACGAGAGAATTTAGTATATGTTCAGATCATGATGCAAAAATGAGCCTTTCATCTTAACAACTAGGAACAGTGCTAATATTTGAAAATTGTACTGCAAGATGGGTATACTAGAGAGAAATCACTGTCTTTGACATAAAAATTTGAGTGACAAATACTTATTTTTATGAGGATGTGATGGATGGACTCTTTCTTTTTTTTTTCTTGAGGGAAACGCATTGATTTCAAACCTTTGTTTTGATTTCACTTTTGCGATATTCTCTTTTACATGGAAGCCATTTGAGGGACTGGGCACCAGTGCGGCTGCATTGTGTAGAATTTGGTCCAGTTATTGTACATATTTAAATTTTTCGATATACAATTATATTATAATGTGAAATATTTTATCCATGTACACTACATTTTTCACGAGTTCAACAATGCAATGTGATTTTGTAAACCAATTAATATAACAAGTATAACAATCAGACTGAATGGCATAGAAACAAAACCGCACCAGCACTCATTCCACCATTTGTGTATCCATGGACTCAATGTTCTCACTTGGGCTCTTAGTGATTAGTTTTTGTTTATAGCCAGTATATGTAATCAAGTATCTGTTAGTTGTTCCTATACCTTGTTTCATCATGTTCGATGGTTGGTTTATAATCTATTATTCATTTCATATGGTAATTCCTGACCTAGGAATGTGTTAGATGAGCACTCCTAATCAATGACGACAGAAATCTGGTACATTACTTGAAAGGAAAATTTTCTGTGAATAAACTGTTTTATGAACTGCAAACATGCAATTTGGTTCTGTTCTTCTCTCTGTTGCTAGCTAATCTGGTTGACATGGTATTCTGCACACTTGTTTTCACTTTGTACCAGGAAACAAGATGGATACTTCTCAATGTTGATTTGGTTGGTGATCTTGGAGAAGGACCTTCGTATATTTCTCTTCTTCATCAACAGTAATATTGGCTTTATGACATGTCAACAGCTGCAAACTTTCGTAATGTCAAAATGTCTGCATGCGATAGAATTAGTGATCTTCCTAGCAGTATAATAGAAAGCATTTTAATGTGGTTGCCAACACGAGACGCTGCAAGAACTAGCATCTTATCAAGGAAATGGAGGTATAATTGGTCCAGAATCCCACAGCTGGTACTTGATGATAAGATTTTCAATAAAATTTTAACAAATCATGCATTACCTAGGCAAAAGTTTGCAGAAATTCTATTTCAGATTCTGTCACTACACCAAGGACCCATATCCAAGTTTCGTTGTTCTTTAACTGGCCTTAAAGATTGTCGTGACATTGACAGCTTGATAGTGCTTCTGTCAAGGAGTGGGGTTCGGGAGTTTACCCTCAATCTTTGGCTGAATGAATACCACAGAATGCCATTGGCATTTTTTTCCTGTCTAGAGCTCAGGCATTTGAACCTTCGGGGTTGTTTGATTAAACCCCCCACCAATTTCCAAGGTTTTGGCCATCTGATTAGACTGAAACTCTGTCAAGTGAATATTGCAGAGGATGTACTGGGAAGTTTGATGTCCAGTTCCCTGCTACTGGAGCAGTTGACCGTTGTAGAGATCCCGGCCATCTTGAACTCCCTTGAGCTCATAGCGCCCAAGTTAAAATCTGTTTCTTCAAAAGCTCTGTAAAATCTATCTTATTCAAGAATACCCCGGTTCTTGCAAGGGTTTCGCTTGTTCCTAGAAACCAAGACATGGACGGAAAATTTCATGTGGGGGGAACAAGTATTATCGAGCAACTTCATGATCTCCTGAGTCTTGAGAATCTGCATTTGCACTATGCGTACTTCAAGGTAAAAAGAAGGTGCTCCTTTGCTTTGGATTCAAGATTGTGAGGTAATTGTATATATCTTCACTATGGGTGTTTATTGCTTTGCTTTAAAGTCTCTAGATGCAGGTGGAATCCCTGCAAAGATTACAACTACACTAATCCACCTTAAAGTTGTTAAGCTAGAATATTTATGCTTTGAAGAGGTGAATGAGATTGCTGTTCTTCTGTGTTTACTGAGAAGCTCTCCCAACTTAGAAGAGTTAGAAATTCTGGTCAGTTATTGATGCTTTTCTGCCATATTATACTTGATGCAATTGGATCTGGGGCCTCTCTAGTCGACGTTCCATCCACTTCCATCCAGTTGTGTAAACTTGTACAATCTCAATGTAAACTAATATATTTTTGGTTTATTTGTTAGTTTTGCACCAATTCAGTTCTAATTCACATTTATGCAAACCCATTTACACTGACATTCTATCAGTTTATATAGCTGGATAGAACTGGAACTGGAGAAGCTCCATTTCCGATGAAATTAACATTTATAGCTCTATATAAATGATCTTCCTCTCCATCTTAGGTATACAAGGTTGACGAGTACGCTGAAAGTCAAGCTTCAAATTTTCTGGATGTGCAGGAATATTCTCAACTGACTTTAAATCAACTTCGGCAAGTGAAGCTGCAAAGCATTTCTGGAACAAGATCTGAGATGGAAATCATTAAGCTTTTACTGAAAAAGTCCTCAATTCTGGAGAAAATGTTGATCAAGCAAGCCCCCATGAAAGAAAACATCAAAAACAAAGTAACAGAAATTGGGATCTTGAAACAAGTGACAAGGTTTCACAGGCCTTCACCTAGAGCAGCAGTCATATATGAAGATCCAATCATTAGTTAATCCAAAGCAAGTCAGTCAGAGAAGAGGGTTCAAGGTTTGGAGTTAATTAGTACCCAAATAAGTCATTTCTCAAGTTAATTGGCATTTTCAAAACTTTTTTTTTTTTTTTTTGATTCTGCAAGACTGTGTTACTGTATTCTTGGTAAATAATACAGTAATTAATTTGGGTTCTCTCTTCGTCCTGGATTATGTTGGTAATTTTTTTTAGTTGAAATTATATTGAGTAAAAAGTAAGTATTTGAACCCGTTCCTTGAGAAGCCATGTGCTTCTTGGCTACATTTTTACCATGCAACTGAAAGCAGAAGGCAAGTCCACCTGCATACCAACCTTTGTTTCAGGGAACCGGTGATAGAGTTGACAAACAAGGTTTCTTTTTCTTTGGTGGTAAATGCAGACCAGGTTTCTTGACTGCAAGCAGAAAAAGAAACGACGAAATTGTATTTGCCTCGGCCTTCCGTGGTGCTCCGTCAATGTTGTATCTTCTGGGAGTGGTTATATGATTTCTATGTCCTTGGAGTTTCACGCAATCCTGTGATCCGTGGACAGACAAGGACACAGGATATCGATGTGATGGTGAAGCTTCTTGAATATTATTTACCCTAATGTCTCTTACGCAAAAACAATCATGGATTTGTCCAATAAGCTTTAGATTCTAAGTATATTCTATGAACAGTTCTCTGAGAATGCATCATGGAAGCAAAGTCAATGATTTAATCATATCTATGAAAACATATCTTCCTAATTATACGAGGGTTGATTTTTTTGGTTAAACATGGTGCAAATTTGATTTTTTATTTTTTCTTAAACAAAGAAAGACCAATGTTAGCAACAAGGGAATATTGAAGAAGCTGAAAATTTTTTACAAACAGCACCAGTTATGCAACTGTGATGACAATCGGGCAAGTTTGGTAGTCTGAGTTAAGCTTAGAAGATGAAGCATTTAGCTGCGGTGATCTGAAGCTAATTTCTTTCTAGAGGTCACTTTTGGAACGCCAAAACTTCTATGTTGGCGGTGAAAGGTGAGCCTTTCTATTACAAGAAAACCGCTAGCTTCTAGAAAGAGAATAAAAATTTGTGAGACGAAGGAAAGGGCCATGCACAAGGCAGCTTTTCACCATAGTGGAGCTCCTGAACCCAGCAATGCGAAGATTCATGTAATCTTATCAATTTCGCAGCCACATTCCTTTACTAATTTGCTGGTCCTAGATCTTGCTTTGTTGACTAAAGGCTTGGTTGTCTAATTGCTTTGCAAAAAGATCAAAAGTCGCTTCAACAGCATGGTTCAAAGTCGCGGTCATGGTTCGAACCGTTCCACATCAGTCTTGACATATCAGTCGGGGTTTCGGCGAGACGCAGATTTTTAAAATATTTAATATTCTAAAAAAGTAAAAAAATAATAATAAACAAAAATAATAAAAAATTAGCAAAAATAATAAAAATTCGAGTTGATTCGGGACGACTCTGCCGTTTCTATCCGTCTCAGAGATGTCTCGGCCGAATTCTCGATGATTCTGTCAAGTTCTCAGCGATTCATTATCTCGGAGTTATCTCGTCCCGGTATCGGATTGGAAAACTCCGTTCCGGTGACGACTCGGCCAAGTCATCTCGGTCTCGGCCGAGTCTTAAAGCTGATGGTTCTTCTCTTAGAATTCCAAGCTACTTTGGAGGAGAGGATTTCATTGAGACAGATTGGGAAAAATATGCTTGTTGGTTTCTCCTCCTTTCTAGAGTATAAGACAAGTACGGAAGCACAAGTAACAGCTCTTCTTAAGAGGATTAAGCTGTGCTTAGATGGGAATCTTCATCAAGTGACTGTTGAAATTGATTCTAAGTTAATGATTCATATGGGTTTTGTGTCTTGCGACGATACCAGGGAAAATTGAGAGCACCATGTGGAAGTGGAACTTCAAACGCTTTACACATCACATGGAAAGTCCTTTGTCTTTAAACACGTTTCTTAACAGGCAAATTGGTAGCTAATTTGTAAGCTAATGGAGCTAGTTCTTCAAGAACAAGTAAGGTGCACAATAACTTAGATTTGACAAATGATTTTGGGGCTTTATTGGATTGGACACTTTGCATGTCGTGTACATCTGCATTGTATAACACTTAGAAAGCTCTATATCGCTTTCTTTTGTATCTTTTCATTAAATATCAGTAAAACGGGTAGAATTCTATCCTAATTTTTATTACAACAAGTGACTTTCGTTTCTTTTCTTTATTCTTTTTAAGGGTCATCAAATAATTTTGAGATTTTTTTTCTTTACGCATGATCTTTGTATTTTCTACTAAAATACTCCAACAGTTTAAGAATTGTAGCAGCACCGCACTCTTCTATCTGCCAAAAGTTGATGTCAACTTGTTTTGCAACCCGGTACTGTTTCATCCTGTCAAGTTGCATTGCGACATCTCCTTGTGTGGATAAAGTTGGGGAAGAACCCCACCCATGTAGTATTAATGTAGAGTTGTTGAAGTGCCAACCCTACCTTTAACGCACCTATTATTGTTTGATTATCGTCTTACCATATCATGCACCCAACCTAGGCCCATGCCCTGAAGGTCAATATCTCTTTCCAGCTCCCCACATGCCTGCTTAACCTCCAAGCCATAACAATACATACGAAAATGATGAACCCCATTTGTCAGATGTAATGAGACCCTGGATGGCAACTTCCATATTGGTTTTGAGATGGCATCAAACATATCAGTTGCAAGAGAATAGATGTCAAACAGGGCACAATGAACTGTCCCACAAGTTTGCAAGGGAAATTTATCATTGATCTTTTTCTGGAGCTTGCCAAGGCATAACCATAAGATACAAGCAGAATATAACTAGCATACTTGCGGTAATGCAGGAAAATTCGAGAGTCGGTTTATTGGCTGCTTGAAAACTAGGCTTAGGATACCTGAAAAAGAGCGGTGCTCATAATGATTTGGCATACATACTTTTAAGTACCCAGAAAGGCGAGCACGTTCAAATGTTGGAAACGATCAGTATGCATAAAATGGAGAACATATTTTATTCTTCAATCTAAAATGGGTATAAAATGAGAAGAAATAGTGGATCGTAAACACGGTTGCTGTTTAAGAGGATCACATATTAGCATAATTACATTAAATATAAGTTTTATACAAAATACTAACTGAGAAGACAGTTCTTCCTACTGAAATATATGGAGTATATGCTATATGCTACAACATTACAGAATGAGATTAACGTCTTAATTACTTCAATCAATCTAGTAATTGAGAGATCCAACTGATGTCATCCTGGTAATCGCATTCCTGGGCTCTTGTAGGCTTGCATAGTCATCACAGCTTCCATTTGGTAGCCTTGAGTTGGGAGCTGAGTTGAGAAGCTCGAGACCTCGTTTGCCCATGTGCTGCACCTCTTGTGGTGAGAGTATTTTAATGCACCACACATTGTTAACGAACTCCCTGCAGTGTTTGTCAGAATCAATTAAAACGCCACACTTTCATGGGGATGTAAAAAAAAAAAAAAAATTAAAGACGACCAAAAAGGAATTGTTTAATATGGCAAGCAAATGTAGACCACCTCATAAGGATATTAACAATTGGAAAGGAAAGTAAACGAACAATAGACTATTTCATTGCATTTTTCTTTGGGTTTGTTTTTCCCTTCTCTTTTCTGCCCCTTCAACCTTAAGAGCAAAGAAAAATACCATAAAAGCCTCGACATGAATTGAGTACAATGTGCTGCTTTACAACAAAAGAAGCTTGATAAAGCACATAGCAATAAGCTGTCATGCATCATACTCAAGTGATGCACAAACACCACAGACGCAAGCAAATTGGTGTTTGAAGATAATAGATAGGTAAAAATCTATGACAGAAGAAAATAAAGATACTCACGGCCAAGGATCATCACCAAGGAGAAGGACATCATTCTCTCGGTCAACGAACACAAGCTGCCAGCCTGATCTCAAAGGGTCCTCCAAAAGGCCCTCAAGGCCAAATAGTCGAGCAAGCTCAATACGCAACTCATGGTAGCTGCTGAATTTGCTGATGTCTAATGACCTCCCAAAGGACCCTGACTTGTAAACCTATTAAAAGCGCAACATATGAAAAAAGGCAGGAAAGACATTTATGGGAGTGCTTTGTTAAATAGTAAGACAACCAAATTCTCATGAGGATTCATGTGTCATCTGGAGTTACCATAGTTGTCACCAGCAAAAGTGTCATTACCAAGGCAACTTACCTTAACAAAAGTTCTGGTAGCGGGGTTTCCCTGCCCAATATTGTCAGGAGACCGCAGAAAACCAGATTCCTGAATACAACTTGAAGGTGTCATTTCTGGATTCTGTTGAAACTTGGTCCCCGTAGTACCAGCATAATTGGAAGAAGGAAAAGGTATCGTAGTACACCCACTATCACTAACTACTCCCCTAAGGTTTGACATCCCGTTCTGGATAAGAAGTGATGAAGAATCTATGTTTACTCCGAACAAAAGGCTATTCTGGGGATCATTGGTCCCTTCTTGGTCTATGGAGCACTCCCTACCAGGAAATGGTGGCAAAGAAACTGAATTTTGAGATATACTGTTGTTAGGTGGTCCCATTTCCTCCATTAAAGGTGATATACATTGTGATACACCCGAAGGAAGGATAGGATCAATTGCCACTCGTTTTGGTGGCCAACCACTAGGAGATAACAAGGAGCTGGATCTAGGCACACTGAGAAGATGGGATGCTTCATCCTGGGGCACAGAACCCAACAGACTCTGCAGTGGAGACAGAATAGAGCTGGTCACAGAATTACCATTAGAGTCCGAAAAGCTCTGCTGGTGCATGGGAGAGATAGCTTGGATCGAATGTGACTGGACCTGAGAGCTTGAAGTCAACTGAGGCAGGACAGTTGCAACACTTGAAACCTGCTGATGATCATTTACTTGCTGTTGCTGTTGAGGAAGAGGTTGCTGCTGCGGAAGAGGTTGCTGCTGCTGCTGCTGTTGTTGCTGTAAATTACTATAAGAATTCTGATGATGCAATTGTTGCTGAATTAGCAGTGATGGAGCTTGAGATTGTGATTGTGCTGGGGACTGGCTTCCTGGAAGGCCTTGTAAAAAGGTAGGCTCAGGCTGAGACTGCTGCAACGTTTGAGGTTGCACTAAACTAGTTGGTCTGTTAGCAATGCCTTGGGTTTGATGAAACTGTAGAAGAGAAGATAAGGCCTGCTTGGATGGGCCTACAGCCCTCATCTCCTGAAGAGCAGCAGCAGCCATAGCTTGGTAAAGGTCTGTTTGCATGCCAAGAATTGGAGCATCTACCCTTGGCTGCATCCAAGGTGCCACTCCAATTCCCTGATAGTTAAGACAATGTAATGCACGCTCCCCAACATCTCCACGGAACCACATTAGTGGAGAATTGATTCCCATTTCATCATCCTTCATCCCTGAGGCCGCCAAAAGATAAAAGGTTATAGCCATATTGCATGATATGACATGAGCTCTAGGCTCTAAGGCTTGATATGACACGTAGCAAAACAAATATGCATGGCAGGATAAGAAAATCTCCTCCCTACCCTGTAAATCACACCATGAGAGAGAGAGAGAGAGAGAGAGAGAGAGAGTATAAGAATCTAATAAACCATAGGTACCGCAAAATATACCATTGAAGGAAGGCAGCCCCAGTGGCCATGGTCTCTTGAGTCTTAATGGGAATGGTGATGGATACATCGGAAA